TTGTAGATTCTATATTTAAATTTGACTAGCTTTTGTTATTTAATTAGAGTGTATCCTAAAGCGACAGTTAAAAAACGTATTAATTATATTTTTTCAACTAATTTATATAAAAATAAAAATTAATTTTAAAATTGTTAATTACTTGATAAAAATCATTTAAATGGTATTAATATTAAAAATAATGCCCTACTTTTATATTTTTTTAATAAAAATTTATTATAAAAAAAATAAATTTAATATATTTTAACATGTGTATTGATTACATGTTAGATAATTCCTTTGAATTAAAAGTGTAATTTATTTCTTTCCTCTAATTTGAATCTTTATTTTCTTTGCCAGAAATTTCCATAAAAAAATTATTTACCGGAGATGCTATTTAGTTTGGCAACGGTTTTGTTGTAGTCCTTTTCAACTAAAGTTTGATCCTTGGCAAGGGGGAAAGGATCCATTCAAATTAGCTTGACTAGAAATTAAGAAACAAAGGAATTGAACAAATCAAAAACTGGAAGTATTTAAAATATTAATAGAAGATGGGAACAAATTAAGTAACTCAATAATAAATTTTTATCCTATAAAAATAAAAATATATATATGCATACGTATTACTAAAAGATACATTGTATAATAATAATAATACTCCTCGGATGGAATTAAAAGGACAGTGGCTGATCAGCAATCAAGTTCTTGGTCCAGCGACACGTCACATGTGTGGTCCTTTCGAAAATTCTTGTAATTGTTTTGCACTTGTTGAGCTTGATATGAATGGTAATCAAATTTCCGGTGGGATACCCGGCAAACTGGGAAAGCTAAGGAATCTCAAGCAGCTTGATTTGTCCAATAATATACTAAGTGGATCAATACCGTGGCAGTTGAGTAATTGTTCAAGTTTAGTTTCAATTGAGGTTGGCTATAATCAATTGTCTGGCAAAATTCCACCGGAGGTGGGCAAATTAAAAAAACTTGCAGAGTTTCAACATGCGGTGTAATTCAGTTTCTGGTACAATTCCTCCTTTATTGGTGCAATTGCCCAATAAAGAAGGAATTGCACCAGAAACTGAATTACATCGCATGTTGAAACTCTGCAAGTTTTTCAATTTGCCCACCTCCGGTGGAATTTTGCCAGACAATTGATTATAGCCAACCTCAATTGAAACTAAACCTGAACAATTACTCAACTGCCACGGCATTGATCCACTTAGTATATTATTGGACAAATCAAGCTGCTTGAGATTCCTTAGCTTTCCCAGTTTGCCGGGTATCCCACCGGAAATTTGATTACCATTCATATCAAGTGCAAAACAATTAGAAATCTCTACTGAAATTTGACCTGACAACTCATTTCCCCACAAAAACAAGCCAGTGAGCTTCTGAAGCTTACCGAGCTGTGGAGGTATTGAACCGGTCAGCTTGTTCATGTGCAAATATAAATTCCTCAACTCAAAGCATGATCTAATTTCAGGAGGAATCGACCCGAATACCTCTGTGTAGTAAAGAGCCAGTGTGTGGAGATTGGACAAGTTACCAAATGTGGGTGGGATTACGCCTGAAACTCCGGTAGCGGCGGCTCCAAATATTGTGAGATTGGTGAGGAGACCTAACTGGGAAGGGATTTCCCCTGTCAAATTAGGATTTCCCCCTACTCTGAGCTGCTGGAGGGAAACCAAAGAACCCAGTTGAGATGGAATTGAACCATTGAGGAGGTTGTCCTGGAGCCAGAGAACTTGGAGGGAAGTGAGGTTGGCTAACTGCGGTGAAATCTGACCGCTAAGTCTATTAAAATTCAAGCAAAGAAACTGAAGGGCAGAGAGCTGGCTAAGCTCTTTGGGAATGGGGCCGGAGAGGGAGTTGGAAGAAAGGTCTAGGAGGCGGAGATTGGTGAGTTGGCCGAAGGGAGGAGGGATTGTACCGGAGATGTTGGTGGAGGAAAGGTTGAGGAGCTGAAGGGATGAAAGTGAGGAGAGTGCCGGTGGAATAGAGGAAAGATTCAGGAAAGTGTTTGGGAGAGACAGAGAGATTACTCTGTTTTGGGGTGAACATGCTATGCTATGCCGTGCCATGAGCATGGAGTCTGCGATGATGGGTTCCATGAGGAGAGAACCGAAGATGATGACTTTGCTGATGGGCTGGCTGCAGATAGAAGAGAGAGGAGCGCTTCCCCGTCGGGAGAAAGCGCGGTGGCTAAGCTAAAAAAGAAAAGGAAAAGCAGCAGCAAAAGGATGACTTTGGCCATTTGAAATAATCGAAATGTGGCCGGGAAGCAAGTAAGTGGGTTTTGATTTTGGGTAAATCAAGTGAGGTCTGCTGTTTATGTGTGTAGGAAGCTGCAACAAGCAAGTGAAGAAGAGTGAGTTCTGGAAATCAGTAGCAGCTCTATTTATGCACGAGTTAAAGCCAATTATAGTCCCTTTACTTTCGTTTTTCGTTTATTGTCCTCCCTATACTTTGAAATCGTTCAAAGACCTCCCTCTACTCTCACAAAACATGCCCCTTC